TATATAGTTGTTGAACCTGGTTCTCCTTAACACTAAAGGCATGTGCTTTCAATATTAAGTACTCCTTCTCCCTAGCGTTCCGCACTTTTTATACCCAAACTTAGAGGTCCCGTTAGTGACTCCTTTCTTATTTTTTGATAACTTTTACCGCTATTAAAATAAAATCAAAAATTAATGTAAACAAAAGCATTTCGGGAAAATTGGTAATTAAAAATTCATCAAACTCAAAATTACTTTCTTATTTTTGTAATATCTGTGTAACATTAAACAGAGTCCTCAAAATATCTTGAGATAAATTGAAATTTTTGCGATTAAAGTATTTGATTGAGTAATTTCATATACCAACACTGGCTTGTAGACGATAATACATTGCTGTAAATCAGGCAGACATGGAGGAATTGAAAAGGAAGCCATGATCTAGGTAGCAGAGTATGACAGAGTTCTCTAATGGGTCCGCGAAGATTTTTTATGAAACATAACGATCTTTGATCTCCTAATTCTCTACAGTACCTTAACCATTCTGACTACGAAGCCGATTCCTTTTTTAAGGCCAATGTTCTGCAAAAATTGTTCAGGAAAAATTTTGCTACCTAAAATCGATAGTGTGTGGACGATACGTCTAAAGGGTTCAGGAACTTCACTGGATTGACTTGCCATGCTGTTGAATTATTCTCGATCGCTTGCATGTTTTGTAGAACCAGGGGGATGTTTCACGTACAAAAAGGCACTAACTCGAGTTAGCGGCATCACAGAAAAAGCGGAGAGAGCAGAGAAAAAGAGGAGTGGTAACTCGAGTGACCTGACTTTTTATCGACTTTGGCCGCACATTTTGGGCCATAACTTTTGATACAGTGGACCAATTTGCGTCCTTCCAAAAAAATATTAATGCTGGTGGTACACAGAATAGATGGATATAAATTTGTAATTTTTTCTTCTAAATTATGCAAATTATATGCAATTTTTTTTCTTGGTATCTTAATGCTCGTCTTTTATTAAAATCTTTATATGGACATGTTTGTTACGCTCTCAGCATCAAAGGGTTTTTCGAAGGGTGTAAATTGGTATACTGTATCAGGAGTAATGGCCCGCGCAACAGTGGGCGAGAATCTTTTGGTCATAACTTTTGTCACAGTAAACCAATTCGCAAATTTTTAACAAAATTTTAAAGCTGGGACCACGCTGCATATGATGGTATCAAAATTTTTTCCGTATCTTGCTTCTTAAATACCAAGAGAAAAATTTGCATATGATTTGCATAATTTAAAAGGAAATTTTACAAATTTATATGTGTATATTCTGTGTACCGCCAGCATTAATATTTTTTTTGGAAGGGCGTAAATTGGTCCACTGTATCAAAAGTTATGGCCTAAAATGTCCGGCCAAGTCCATAAAAAGTCGCCCGATTCGCCAATCAAAAAGAAGAGGGATCACTCAAGTTACCACTCCTCTTTTTCTCTGCTCTCTCCTCTTTTTGCGTGATGCCGCTAACTCAAGTTAGTGCCCTTTTGTACGTGAAACATCCCCCAGAAGCTGTTCCTACAAATTTCAATACGTCGGTTGTCCCACTTCGACGGACCTGGCGTTATCAAAAGTTCCAATCACTTGAAGCGACGGTGGGCTCATCTGGCAGGGGCTGACCCTGCCAAATGAGTCAGGCTTTCTGGAGGCCTGCACGAATCAGGGAAGCCGTTGATTCATCTGATTCATCTGTCTCGTCCCATTAGACTAATGGAAAAATACCTTACACTCAGTACTGTACCACAAACAATAAGATGAGCCAAAGTAATGTAAATTTTTTACATATATCTACAGTTTACAGTATGTCAAGAATGTCGCTATCAAAATTTAATTGCAATTGGACATACAAAATTAAACTGGTGTTAGGTCTCAATGTCAGGATATTTATATTCTGAACAACGCAATTGTTTTTATGTCACGATTCAATTAGATTTAACAAGATCATTATCCAAATCGATGAATGCTATGTTTTATTATTTTGTTCACAAAAGGTTTTGAAACGAAGTAAACTAGGGTCGACGGCCAGTAGAAAGGGCTATTAACGGAAAGATAAGTCTATTATTATAAGCTTACAAACCACAAAAGTATATTAAGAATTTCACAAAGTACGTAATGTCATTTCCGTTGGTATAGTATTCCCGCCGATGCTCTACTTAAGTCTGTCCTATTAGCTTTTCAAGTATTTTCTGACATATTGCACTAGTGTAAGTAGATATCGTTATGTCATGACGCTCTTTTGAGTACTTGTTTGTGCAGAAACTGATCTTTACTTTCCGAAAAATCTCTACCAAAAATGAAGTTTCACGATTAATTAGGGAGAAAGGTTCACAGTTCTCTGAGTGTAGTTATGTCTGATCTCAAGTGGAATATAGACGTTCTTAAGGTTGTTGAAAGGAGGAACGATTGACCCCATGAATTAATGTATGTTGGCATTAGTATGCCGACAGTAAAGGACGTCAGCCTTTCGTTAGACATCAGTAAGCACGGCGAACGCTCTGGGAAGACGCTTGTCAATAAAGCGTTTGAACTCGAATAATTGTTGTGACGTATCCCTTTTTGATTACTTGTCGAAATTTTTTGCAAATAAAGTGCATCAATTCGATTGGTCACTGTAAAAAACAGCAACGCTTGTTTAGAAAAGCTTTCAGCCAATTGAATGGGCTTCCTCGAAGTTCAAGAAGGAAAAACCGGAACTCAAAAAAATCCAAAGTTGTAGCTATTTAAGTCTCAAAATTAGAGTGCGACATTACAGGCATGCTAAACCTGATTTAAGATTACCGTAGAATTATTCATTTGCCATTTACAACCGAAAATGGCTCAGGAACACAAACAAGAAAACACTAATTACAATATACACAAATCCTCGAAAGTTTAGTGTCAACAATACCATGGCCTGGAGCCGAGGACAGATTAAATTTAGAGCTTAAACCAATTCCAATTAAATGTATCTTTCGGTTACCAAATTTATCGTTTTCGAATGCCAAAATTTACGAAACGTGCGATTCGAGATATCTGGAGATGGTTTTGTAAATCGAAAAGTTAAAATAAACTTTTAAGTGTTTACTGTGTTTATTTTGTTCATAAACCGAATTGTGCACATCTTTTATAAAATTTAGATCCGTATGATATAATCTGGAGGGAATTTTTGGGGTTTAGCTTTTTGCGTTGGTAGAGAAGGTGTTTTGGATTAAAAGAATCAAACGGCTTTTGAAACAGAGCGCCAATCTCGTCAGATATCTGCCATTTTGTTCTTATAAAGTAATCCTCCGCAGATTATTTCTGACATTTTCGTTTCTTCTTGACATTGATCTGCTTAGGGTCTGTATCATCGTTTATAAAAACAAATTATTTCAATTATTTTTTGGCAAACTTGTCATCTCGAGGTGCCGTTATAAGCGTGGGCCTTAGGTATAAGAACGAAAACACTCTGAAAAAAGCAAATGTTTCTACAACCATACATTAATTACGGAAATTCCAAGGAAAACACTACAAGTGGATATTCAAGTGTGTTCTACAAATATCTACAAAAAAACCGGCAAAAATAAAGCCTAACAGACCCCTATATAAAAGTTCAGAAAACTAAGATCGTATCCCATGGATTTATTACACAGGAATCGTCAAGCGGGATTAAACAAGCTGCAGAAGCCAATGTTGTGCGTTGATTTCGAATTCATCGCGATCGAGATAACGAGAGAAAATTGTTAATGCCTCGGGGCCATCTCCCGGTTCAAAGATTGCTTCATTACGTCGGCTAAATAACAGGAAACGTCTTCGAACCGAAATCCCACCAAAATAGAAGGATTTGGAAGTGTTTTTATAAATGCACAAATATTCTCTGGCGGACATGTGCGTTTTTTAAAAGAGAGTCAAAACTTGATGCTGTGAATGTATTCTGACAAAATTCCAGAAAATTAATTACCTTGGACGAGGGAGGTCAATAAGACTGGAATTATTCGAAGACATAATCCTTTACGTGCTCGAATCTCGTTACGAAGGCGTTAGCAGTTTAACCGAATAATTTTTTTTTCGATCCTGCAAAAAGAATCTGCCCTCAAATAAAGTATTTGGCTTGAGGCCATATGTCCTTATTCCTCTTAACAGGGCATCGAATAGCAATTCAACTCCAGCACCGTATCACCCAAATGTTTTTAGATTTCTATATTTATTTTTAAATATAAAAAATAGCATAAAGGACAACAGAAGATAAAGAAGTAACGTTACTTAACAAAGTCTATAGAATATATAACAATCAAAAAAGAAGTCAATATAACAATGCATATGAAAGTAATTGAAAAAAGATGACAAATGTAACAATAAGTTAAAATAATATTTAAGTGACGCCTAAATAATCAAGGACGTCGGGAATGCACGTTGGCGTAGGAAATGCTGACAGAAACAGGAAATCTCCAACTAAATTATAAATTAATTGGCATGGAAGATACCTCAGAGAATAAATATGTTGAGATCTGCCTGGGGACAGATATGTTCTGAATAAATAAATAGGCGCTACTCAATTATCAAAAACTTGCAACAGAAAGAAGAGGGGTACCTAGAAGGGTGTTGAGATACGTTAGAGAGAGAGGCGGTATCGTTGAATCAGTCAGGTCTTCTCCTTCATGAGTCAGCTCACAATTACTACAAGATTAAGAATACCCGTCGCTGGCATAGAGTCAAATCGATTACGCCACTACAGTAACCCGACTTTGACTTGACTGAACCAACTCATGGCAGATTTAAGTGACAAAAACGAAAGCACACCGACCGAGACAAGTGATACAGTACTTAAACCATGCCTAGAATATTATAAAAGGGCCCTAAACTCTACACGGACGTCGCCACAAGCAAGTGGAGGCGGTTGGCTCAACCAAATATATGTCACTAGAAATTCAACCTTAGAATATGAAAAGACCCTATTTGACTACCGCAATTATAAAATGAGATATGTGAATAAAACTAAGGATTTGTTGATGTAGTCCGAGTGCTTAGTTACATTCATCTGTTTTCACATCCAGATAGCCGTCTGATGCACAAGCGGGAATCTGACCACGCAGTCGGATGCATTTGCCTTCATGAGTTACTGTCTGAAAGAAACGAAAATAAAATGCAAATAAACGAAGGTATTACTGATGTCACCCCCCTCATGTATTAATGAATTCAGGAATAAAAGGCCATGTGGGGGTTTGCATTAATACGGTCTAGAAGACCAGTTTCCCATGGAAGGATAGTATTATTACTTTCATAGCCTCCGGTTCTTTGGAAGACAGATCGCTGCACCGTAAACTTCCTCCTGCTCGGCTCAAAATTCACGTAGGCTAAAGTTCGAAAGCCTTTTCGGGATAAATGTTAAATCGGTATAAGCCGCCGATGATTCCTTTGTCTACGCTGCTATTGAAACTTGCTGTCTTATCCGTTGGAGCCTAGGCCCTATTAAATAGATTTCGTTACCTTGAGACCTTAATTTGGACGAGACTAATCCGTTCATCGTTTCAGAATCCAATAAAAGAAACATAGCTACTACTCGCAGTTGCCATTGCTATCGTAACATCCCAAAGATTTAGCTCTTATAATTAGCTCCACAGACGGAGAAGGTCCCTGAGATTTGAGATAATGGAACACCTCCCATCTAATAGATGCCTAATCCCGGTTATTTTTGGGAGAGCGGAACATTTCTAGAGTCTTTTTTCGGACTTATTATAGTACAAGGACCTCTAAATTAACTTTGCTGCAGACGGGGTAAATGTCAACGAGTTACAAAGATTAAAATTACTCTAATCTTAAGCAGTTATAAATATGAAATGTTGGCAGAACAAAAGACGAATGCCGAGTGTCGTCAGAGAGCGCTTGAACAGTTGCTCTGAATGTCAGCTACAATGTCTCTGTTTCTCAGGCTTCATTTGTAATTCTACGTAAGAACATCTAGTTGTTTCCCGTGTCTAGCCACGTTTAATGGCTGCGGAGGCTCAATAAAATCGGAGAAAAAATGTTTCTGGACACCGTTCCATGTCTTCACAAGCGCTGACCTTTGTATTTTTTGGCCTTACTTTTGTATATGACAACGAAAAGTATGCACCAAGCATTTTCGCCCTCTGGCTACAGTTAATTTCATTCTTAATTAACGTATGCAAAAATTAACAGGAACTGTTTAACAGATGTCTGCAGAAAGTGTAAAGATCCCTCCAGGGTCACCAGAAAAAAAGAAAAAAAGTAACGACCTGCTTAAGTGTTGCCCCAATCCAAACAGCCGGGCAGTCCAATGGGAAGACATTGTTTGCGGGCTGCCAAAATTAGAAATCAACGAAAAATTTCTCCGCCCAGACAGTTGTAATGTTTAAGTGTATAGTCGCGTGACTTTCAACGATTTAGCAAAAAGAAAAGTAACACGGAGATGACGATTTCATAAGACAGGCGACGCTAGACAGGTTTCCCAGGCGAGCCGCAGCATGACTTAGGGCATACCTACTTTCTGACCTTTCAATAATCAGTCAAGGATCTGTTAAAGGGCACTAAAGAAGGGCATTCTAAAGCTGAAAATGTGATTTAACTGTGAAGCTTGCAACTTTCGCAGTCTCATCACGCACCCCGATTAATCATTACAGCGTCAGATTAATATATTTTTTATAGTCAACAGCTATCAAAGCGGGAGTGTCAGATGGGGTCCGAACATCGGAATTCGAGCGGGCGTCTACGGTCATCAAATGATGAAAGGTACAGTAAACCGGGGTGCGCAGGGAACTAAATAATCTATAAAGATTTGGGTCGGATTAAAGTGTTTGTGCATCGCCATAAGGGCAAATGTTAATCGCTGCTCAGCGGCATGAATATTAGCAAAAATTGAGGTGGCGGATATGAGATTTAAACGAGAGCGAGGACACGTAAACGTGATTAAAATGGCGCAATCAGGCGGAAGCAGCGGCCGATTAAGTCTATCACTAGCAACCCTTGGACCTAACAAACATTATTCCCGCAGGGCCTAAGCCTATTGTACAGTACCAGAACCCCTCTTAAAGTCGCCCATCTGCAAGATACTTACCGTTTTTACTTCGATTTTACACGTTCGGACTTCTTCTGCGACTTCTTCGGCTCCAGGGAAAGTCGGAGACGTCCTTACGCATTGTGTTAAGTACACCATCATCAAGGCCAAGATCAAAAGAAACGTTTTTGTTGAGATGAACATCGTTAAGACTGGGCACAGCCGTCAGCGAACAGGCCTTGCCAGACTCCTTGCAGATCAACAACCCAGTATTTGTCGTATTTTAAGGTCACACCGGACAGGGTGTTGATTACAGCGGAAATCGTCGTTCCCCAAATGTGTTGTGGCGCTAGAAAATTGGGAAATGAGTCAGCATCATGAGCAATTTAAACGTTAAATTGGATTATGCGAACGGGCGTGGGTACAAATGCACACATACGGTAAACGAAAACTTATTTCCAAAGGCCGCATTAAAATTCACGGAAAATGTGTTATCCCCGCCAAAAATAAAAGTTTCGAAAATATAATGCAGTAAATAATGCAAAGCAAATAAAAGATAAAATGCTGGATTAGAGAGGCGTGTTTACTCAGGTAAAGTTTATGCACCCCCAATCCACAAATATGGGCGTGGGTGGTGCATATAAAAGTTCGCAACTAACATGGGAATACACATAGATTACCGTAGGCCTATGCTTATCAATAGACAGGAAATACCAAGTTGCATTCGCTTTGAACATCGCAACAATCGGAGCAATTCTCCGCCGACATAATACGAGACCACAGGGAAGTGAACTGAAATTTTACTGTCGCATTCGCTGTCTCGGCAAAGTCCGACGAAGACCAAAAAAAGGTTGACTTTTCCCCACCCAGGCCCCGCCCCCTTTTGCCCTCGTGAAGCAATGAAAAAGCAAAGGTAGGAAATTTAATTGAAGGTGTTAGAGAAAAAACAAAAAACGCCGTTCGAAGCCTGGCTTCACAAAAAATGGGCGGTTCAGAACCGCGGTAAGGTCGGCGAACAGCAGATGGAATAAACTAAACTCGTCTTCAACGCGAGCAGGCCCTTCGGGGCGGAGCAAGCTGATTACAATACGATGCTGCTAGAATTTGCACTTCTGCCATGCATTGAATTCAAGAAAAATAAATAAAACTAAAAAAGTAATTCTCGATTTGAAACCGCTGTAAATTATAATGCCCAACAGAAGTCTAAACACAACTAAAGTTGCGGAATTTCAAGGTCAGAGATACACATGCGAATTACTGAAAAAGAACCCCTCTGCGAACTGATTACCGGTTCAGACGGAAGTCGTCGAAACGTGCCTAAAAACGGTTGAAGACCTCACAAAAAAACGATGACAAATAAGAAGAGATCAGACCGAAGTTGAAGATGAATGGGCAAGGAATCGGCGTGATAGCATCAAATTAAAGTTATGGCAAATAAAATAACGTCAGACGATTTATTAAAATGCTATCAGAGAGATCATGAAAAGTGAAAGATTTCAACGCAAAGCTTTGAAAGAAATCCGATGAATTCGGTAAAACAAAAATTAATCTGAAACATAAGGAACGGCCGTTACGGCTAATTGGACTGGCCACAACACACCTGCGGCACATGGACACTCAAAAGATCCCAATTGTCTGGCTTGTTTGCTTTAAATACGGCAGTAAATAATAGCCCCGACTCCTCCCCTTTTTTCTGGAAAGGATCGAAAAAACCGCCTATTGAGGAAACAAACCCCTCTCTCTAAGTCAGACGAGTTTCATTCCAATAAAAAAAAAGTAGTAAACAATCCACAGGGAAGGGCGGAGTCTTCAAATCTTCAAATTTACTACATTGCCCACCGCTACGGTAGCGGGAAATCGGGTGAAAGTTGATGGAATACGTCGGTTGAAGGACGGCGAGACATATAAATTATGTTTTCAGACCCACGTAACGGAAATACAATTACACAATTAGCTGCGTGCTAGACCAGAACACAGTGGTTACTGATGGGAGACTTCAAAAATTGTTATAACGAAGAACACCGCAGAGAACAAATCGTTCAGGAATAAGTACTTTAATACGGAGGAACAGAGTGTAAATCTAATTTGGTATTACAAAGATAGAATGAGGGAGGTGTATTCTCGCGTGTGATCATATAATTGGAGCAAGTGTAATTATCACAACTGAACGTGTACCAAACCTGGTATCACCAGAGAGCGTTGTCGAAGAGCAATTGGACAGAAATATTTTCCGAAGAACCGTAAAATTGCCTAAGGGCATAAAAGCAGCCCAAAAAAATCAAAGACTAGATTTGAATCAAACCTCAACATAATTACCTATACAGAGGTTTCCCAACTCTCAATTACAGCGGGGTAAACTCAACCATCCCCGCGCCCTATTTTAAACGGCCAGACCCCACAATTATGGGGCCAAATTTTTTAAACCCAGGTTGGCTATGCCCAATTAAAAGTGCATATCATATTTTTGTACCGGAAGGAGATAGATACCGGAGAATGTGTTTGTCCCAACCATAAAATTATTATTATACAATATGAGGATGTAAGTCCGAATTAAGGTTGTAAACTGTAACTGTCTGGTACGGCGGCTAAGTAATAATTAACTACTTTTTCTAAGTAGAAATTAAGCCCCGAAAAATTGGATGCATTCTGGGTGGTACCCCCAAAGCATTTTTACCCTAGAACTAAAAGCCAAATTCCTTCCTGAGTTTTAGTTAAGTTCCAGATTCGGAATAGAGATCATTTTTTTCAATTAGAGTTTTGTAGAATATTGCAACATGTTTATGAATTCAGTGAAAAACATATTTTTAAATAACCATCAAATTCCAAGCATCTTTGCAAATTTTCCTTTTAAAGATCATAAATACAATTAAAACCAGGCAACCTTGGGGGAATTCATGTAAATTACCGTCAAATGTATCCTTTAAGTGTTGTCGGTTGAAGATTATTGAAACATGTTTGTGACAGTGTTTTTATTATGAAGGTTGTCTTTGTCCTTTTTTCAGCGTGCTCAGAATCCATTATTTTTGAGAAGTATAGTGGATTATAAGAGTAAACCTTGTGATGTAAATAAAAAGGCTATCTCCTCCTTTTATTTCATGTTTCTCAACTTGTCAAACACTTACAACGGGCGGCTCAAGTTTACAGTCCTGTTTGATGGTGCAATGACATCTCAATCCAGCAAATATAGTCACTGAAAAAAATGTCAATTTTTACCCTTAATTATTAAACAACAGTTGCCAAGGTGCGGTAGTACAGTCTATTTTTCCGAAAACACATAAAATTCTGCACTAATTTCTCTTTTCACTAAAAACGGAACTTTTGTCTTCAAGGTATAAAATGGCAAACAACATTTTCACAAAGCTCGGGCGCAGCCCACAAAAATAGTTTAGAAGAAAATAAATTGTCGTGCATCTGAGGTGTGAAAAAGCAAGGCTTTTGGCTGAATGTTGCAAACACTTTGTTTAAAAAGTGCTCCATTATATTGCAACTGTCATCGCAAAACTATGCATCATAGCTGAATGCCAAATGAGGTTGGGATCATATTTAACAATCAATTTCTTTACAAAAATTTTACACCCATGTGCAATCTTGCCCGAATGTCAGCGTTTCGGGCGCGGTAGATAGAAAAACCCGGAGTTTACTTATGAAAAAGTGAGTCTAAATGTGTATACCCGACTTTTACAGCTCCTTCACGCAACCTCAAGGTCTACTATAGCTACATAAAAGACGCCGTAAAGTCCGTCCGAAGGCCTGGCACCAGCCGGTGCCGCGCTGAATGCTTCATGACCCGTTAATGTTACTTACAATCAGCTGCATTTTTGTATTATGAGTGCAACACTTAAGCGGCATAAATGAACAGCCAGTGTCATATTAAGGACAGACTCTAAAGAAAAACGACACAAGTAAAGTGTCAAGATACAAAGGTTGGTGCTCGTAATCTCTACAGCAAAGTTAAAAATGAACACACCTCATAGACGACTTAACGACTCGAATAACTCTCTCGTATTTTAAGTATCAGAGAAGGAGATATCGTCCACTAACGAAGGATTACATTCTCTTCAAAACGTCGGCCACGTTTGATCTTGTTTATGTCAACAGCTACCGTAGCCTCTACTGAAGCCATATAATGACTCGTTCCATCGAGACATATTCCTAATCCGCCGATCTAATGTCATTTTTTAACCTATTCCTCTAGTCAATCTGGTAAGTACAGTTTTCACCCTCTAATCAGCTGTAAATACCAATAAAAGAACCCTGATTTATTGCCTTTCAGGTTGAAAACTCGGCAAACTAGCCGCCTTTACAGTTTTAGTCGCCGTGATAGTGCAGAAGTCGAAAGAATGACTAAATCTAGAACGGACAAATAATTAAATGGTTAAAAGTGCACATTACGTAACCTTTCCGAAGCCATTCAATTCGAGGCCGTCCATAGAAAGCACAAAATCAGAAACGGCTCATCTAAACCGTCAATCATGTGATTGGTCTGGAAAAGAAAGTGATTTACTCGAACAAGTTGTACTGTACATACACCAGACCGAACCCAGGTTCTGCTTTCTGCAATGGATGAAAAACCAGACCCGGTTAGACGCAAATCAAATGAGAGTGACATAAAGACGGAAGAAAAATAAGTTACAGGTAGGCCCGGCTGACGTCAGAGTCTGAACACCTAGCGGTAATTTGATTTCAGGTGTCCTGCTATCAGATCTAAGAGTTAAACTCTCCCAAAATATTTTCCTTTCATATCAGATCTTTTGGCTGAAGTTGAAAAGAAAAAAAAGACAAATACAAAAATACGGTAGAACAGGTTCTATTTCCATCAACCAGGTGCATTCCGAGAGGTCAAACCCCTTTAAAATTAGCTCCAAACTGTCTACGTAGACAGAATTACTTATGCAATAAAAGGATTTTAGTCTCGACAGGAGTGCATGAGACCTTAAAAGACATTGAAAAGTCGCCAACGCTTGCCAGAATGTCTAAGTTGTAGCTTCGTGTCGTATTCTGTTCCACGGCTACACGTTTCCTGTGGTAATAATTTTCACGCTTTGGCAGGTACAAACAAGTGTAGTCTGACTGGGAATGAGATCATACACAGAACCCGTACTTTAATTTTGTTACACAATCATTGTTAAATTTCGTGCCACTTCCAAAAAAGGCGACACAGACGTGACCCATACGCAAAAAACTACGCCTGTTACCGAATCCAC